TTTTTTTTTTTTTTTTATTAACAAAAAAATTTTTTTGTTTATTTTTGAGAGACACAGAGAGAGTGTGTGCATGCACGCAGGGGAGGAACAGAGAGAGGGAAAGAATTCTAAGCAGGCTCTGCACCATCAGCACAGAGCCTGGTGTGGGGCTAGAATTCACAAACCGAGAGATCATGACCGGAGCTGAAATCAAGAGTCAGGTGCCTAACCTACTGAGCCCCCCAGGCACCCCAGTTCTGCCTTTCTAATGGTGTGACATTTGGCAAGTTACTTATCATTATGGCTTCTTACACGGCTGTTTCCATTTCATAGCACACGAAACATACTTAGTAGGAATCCAAAGAATATCCAGTTCACAGTAGGATCCAAAGAATATCAACTCTCATAATTGTTATCTATCATCAATCTTGTATGTTGCAAATAAGAACGGTTTCCTTTCTAGATTTTCTTTAAAAATCGTGAAGTATATCAAAGAGCTAAGAATACAAAAATAAACATAAAAATTGTTACAAAGTGTTCATATAACTACTTTTTTTATGTGAATCTGAAGCAGGCTCCAGGCTCCCAGCACAGAGGCCGACGTGGGGCTTGAACTCACAAACTGCGAGATCATGACCTGAGCCGAAGTCAGACGCCCAAACGACTAAGCCACGCAGGCGCCCCATATAACTATTTCTACCTGTACTTGTTCTATTTACTAACCTCTCTACCCTTTCCAAATGTCACCACCATTTGTACTCTTAACACTAAAAGGCTTCCTGTGTAGTGTTATCTATTGCTTTGTAAATCATCCCGAAATTGGGTGGCTTAAAATCAAAACTAGGATGAGATATCACCTCATACCTGTCAGAATGGCTAAAATAAAAAATATAAGAAACAAGTTTCAGCGCGGATGCAGAGAAAAAGAAACGCTCGTGCACTGCTGGTGGGAATGCAAACTGGTGCAGCCACTGTGGAAAACAGTATGGCGGCTACTCAGAAAATTGAAAAAAGAACTATCATATGATCTAGTAATTCTCCTACTGGGTATTTACATAAATAAAACAAAAACACTAATTCAAAAACATGTATCACTCCTAGGTTTTTTGCAGCATTATTTACAATAGCCAAGATATAGAAGCAGCTCAAGTGTCCATTGGTAGATGAATGGATAAAGAGTATGTGGTATATTTAGACAATGGAATATCACTTGGCCATAAGAAATAATGAAACCTTGCCATTTGCACCACCATCGATAGATCTAGAGGGTACAGTGCTAGTGAAATAATTCAGAGAAAGACAAATACCATATGATTTTACTCATAGTTTACTTTAAGAAACACAAGAGAAAAAAGAGACAAACCAAGAAACAGACTCTTAAGTACAGAGAAGAAACAGTTACCAGAAGGGAGGTGGATGGGGGAATGGGTGAAATAGATGATGGGGATTAAAGAGTACACTTATAAGGGCACCTGGGTGGCTCAGTTAAGCGTCTGACTCTTGGTTTGGGCTCAGGTCATGATCTCATGGTTTGTGGGTTTGAGACCCATGTTGGGCTCTGTGCTGACAGTGAGGAGCTTGTTTGGGATTCACTCTCTGTCCCCCACCTCCACCCCTGCTCTCTCAAAATAAACAAACATTGACAAAAAAAAAAAGTACACTTGCCACAATGAGCACTGAGTAATGTATAGAATTGTTCAATCACTGTATTGTATACCTGAAACTAATATAATGCTGCATGTTAACTATACTGGAGGTTTTTTTTTTTTTTTAAACAATAAAATAAGTAAAGGGGCGCCTGGTGGCTCAGTCGGTTAAGCGTCCGACTTCGGCTCAGGTCATGATCTCTCAGTCTGTGAGTTCGAGCCCCGCGTCGGGCTCTGTGCTGACAGCTCAGAGCCTGGAGCCTGATTCAGATTCTGTGTCTCCCTCTCTCTCTGCCCCTCCCCGTTCATGCTCTGTCTCTGTCTCAAAAATAAACGTTAAAAAATTTTTTTTAAAACATAAGCAAAATAAGTAAAAAATAAACCCTCTCCAGGGGCACCTGGGTGGCTCAGTCGGTTGAGCTTCCGACTTGGGCTCAGGTCATGATCTCACGGTCCGGGAGTTTGAGCCCCGCGTCGGGCTCTGTGCTGACAGCTTGGAGCCTGGAGCCTGCTTCGGATTCTGTGTCTCCCTCTCTCTCTGCCCCTCCCCCGTTCATGATCTGTCTCTGTCTCAAAAATAAATAAACATTAAAAAAATTTAAAGAAATAAGTCTTTTTAAAAATAAGCCCTCTCCAAAAAAATTGGGTGGATTAAAACAGAAGTTTTTGTTGTCTCAGTTGCTGTTAGAAATTCAGGTGCAGCTTGGCTAGGTAGTTCTGACTCAGGGTCTCTTAGGAGGTTGAAGCTGGCTGCATAAGGACGAAACTCGAGATGGTTCACTCATATGGCTGGCAAGTCGGTGCTGGCTACTGGCGGTCATCAGTACTTCACCACACAGACCTCTCTGGAGGACTTCTTAAGGGTTCTCATAACATTATTGGCTGGTTTTCTAAGAACCGATGACTCAGAGAGGAAGTGTCTTTTGTGACGTAGCTTCAGAAGTCACACACCATTCCCACAATATCCAATTGGTTACAAAGGCCAGCCCTATTCAGTATGGAGTGGCCTACCTAAAATCGGGAACATGGGACATCTTAGAGGCTGGCTGACACAGTCCACCTGCAGTCCCTAATAGTCACCTCTGGCCTAAATGCAAAATACACTCCATCTCCCCAGTGCCCCCAAATAGTTCACCATTACAGCATCATCTCAAAATCTAGGATCTCATGGTTTAATGAGAGGCTCTTTAGACTCAGTTCATCTTGATGTGAAAACCTTGAACTAAATATACAAGTTATCTTTCTACTCCTCCAGCCCCAACATACAAGAGTAGGGTATTATAGGTAAGGATAACATTATAGACCCTCTCATCCAAAAAAAATAAAGGGGGAGGAAATGGGGGTAGGGTGGTGGGAATCACTGCTACACAGAAAATTTGAGATCCAATAGAGACCATGCTGGTAGTACGTTGACTGGGATTCAAGGCCTGGGAGAGATTCTTCAGGACTCTTGGCTCTGTCTTCTGAGTTCTCCTGCCCTTTCCATATACAGTGGTCCAATTTTTCAGGGAAGTGGCTTTTGGAGCTAGCTTCTTCCCTGTAAAAGTTCAGGATTCCAAGTCCTCTTCTCCTGTTATGATATCTCAACCTCTTTAAGTTCAAGCTGGCAGCCTTTCTGTCAGTAGGAGTCTCTGAAAAACTCTGTGGGTCTCCAAAGAAACTTACTGAGTTTATATCATCAGACAAGAGCCACATTCACAAGTCTTGGAGATAATTCTCTGATACCCTGGGCTGCCAAGGGCAAACTTAGAGGTCCAGTGCTTGTCTCAACAGCTCTGAGGCACTCCACTTGGATCTTTCCGTGGTCTAAAAAAAGAATTGGGCTATGGGCGCCTAGGTGGCTCAGTTGGTTAAGCGTCCGACTCTTGATTTTGGCTCAGGTCATGATCTCACTGTTCTTGAGATCAAGCCCCATATCAGGCTCTGCACTGACAGCGTGGAGCCTGCTTAGAATTCTCTCTGCTCCTCCCTGACTCTCGCTCACTCTCTTGCTCTCAAAATAAATAAACTTAAAAAAGAAAGAATTTTGCAGTCACCCCTTTGACTTCACCTTTATAGTATGGTTTACAGACACTGCCATGGATTGATCTTGCTTGGAGTTGACTTAAGTTTTAACGTCATTTCCCATCTTGAAAGGCTGTGAATTTTGAGAACCAGCAATCCTTGGCTCCCTTTTATTTGACAGCCCTCACTTTATCCTCTCCCTCTTACTCTTGCGTTTTGGTCCAAGCAGCAAGCAGCAGCCAGCCTTCAGCATTCTGCCTGGAATTCTCCTGAGCAAGATCATTCAATTCAGTGGATATATTTGCTAGTTTCCACGTTACCCTGACAGTGTTGCTCAACCTTCTGCAGCTATGTAGCAAGGACCCGGTTTCCTCCAGTGTCCAATAACACTTTTTACATTTTCCTGTGTGTCTTCACTGGCAGCCTCACGGCAGCCAGTTAGGTTTTTGCTAACAGTCTCTCCAAGGTCCAAAACTCTCCTCAGAGCTTTCTTAGCTTCTTCCCACTGCCTGATTACAAAGCTTCTTCCACATCTTAAATTTTTGTTATGGCAGCACCCTACTTCCAGGTAGTAAAAACTTATCTGGGGAGGCCTGGGTAGCTCAGTTGTCTGAGAGTCTGACTCTTGATTTCAGTTCAGGTCATGATCCCAGGGTTGTGGGATCAAACCCAGTGTCAGGCTTGACGCTGAGTGTGGAGCCTGCTTAAGATTCTCTCTCTCATGCTCTCTCAGCGCCTGGGTGGCTCAGTCGGTTAAGCATCTGACTTCGGCTCAGGTCATGATCTCATGGTTTGTGGGCTCGAGCCCCGCATCAAGCTCTGCGGTAACAGCTCAGAACCTGGAGTCTGCTGTGGATTCTGTGTCTCCGTCTCTCTCTCTGCCCCTCCCCCACTCACACTCAGTCTCTTTCTGTCTCAAAAATAAACATTTTTTTTCAAAGTTAAGATTCTCTTTCTGTCCCTGCCCTTTCATGTGCACACGCTGTCACTCAAAACAAAAAAACAAAAAACAAAAACACACAAAAACCAAACACACACACACACACACACACCCCAAAAACAAAAAATCCACCCTGTTACTGGTTGCTGCTGCCTAACAAATGACCTAGCAGCTCAAAGCAATAAACACTTATCTCCTACAGCTTCTGTTGGTCAACAATTCAGGAGTCGACTCACTGAGTGGCTCTGGTTTAGGGTTCCTTGCTAGGTTGCAACATGTTGACTGGGGATACAATAACCTGAAGGATTGAAGATCAGCTTCCAAGATGGTTCACTCATGTGACTGCAAGCTAGTGTTGGCTGTTGGCAGAAGGCCCGAGCTCTTTGCCACATGGATCATCATCCACTGGGCTTCAGGGACGTGGGACTGGTTTCTCTAAGAGCAAGTTATGCAAGAGTGTACTTTTCTGGTTTATCTTCTCAGCTTTACTGAGATGTAATGGGCATAGAACATTGTGTGACTTTAGGAGTATCCTTCTAGACTTTTAGTTCATCATTCTACCACCTCAAGTATTCATAAAGAGGTATTTGTCATACTCTAGAAGACCCTGTGTGACAAAGAAGCATTATGTAGGTTTTTAAAGTTTATTTTGACAGAGTGTGTGTGCGCACGAGTGGGGAGAGGAGGTAGGGGAGAGACAGAGAGAGACAGAGAATCCCAAGCAGGCCCTGCACTGTCAGTGCAGAGCCCGACATGGGGCTTGAACCCACAAACCATGAGATCACAATCAGAGCCCAAATCAAGAATCAGATGCTTAAATGACTGAGCCATCCAGATACCCCAAAGAATAATTTTTACAGGGAGAAAAGAGAAGTCCAAACAGGGCAAGCCAAGAAAATATAAAAATTTGGGCCCCATGTTGGGATTTTCCCATTCCCTATCCAGTGATTCTTGCACTACTTTTACTAATCCTGATATGTAAGACTGTTGTGCTCCTTGGCAGTGATCGGCATTAGAGACCGCTTTCTGAAAAATCCAATGTAACAAGTGCCAACAGTTGACAGGAAGGGGGGGAGAATAGATAGTGAAGATGCCCAGCGCCCAAAGTTTCTTTCACAGTCATTCCACGTTACCAACAGAAATTAAGTCCTTGCACACATTTATATCTAGAAACACATATTAAAAAATGAATTTTCTGTGTGTGTCTGTAGACTAGATGAAAAGGTCACAGATTACCAATTAGAAGACCTGCTCTGAAACTCTGTTCCCGGCACCATTTCCTAGTATCGTTTCTCCCCAGCACCCATTTCCTGCATGGAAGACGGACACGGGCATACATTACCTGTGCTCATTGGCCAGACTCACCTCCTGCACATCCCAGGCATAAAGCATGTGCTTGGACGACACGGTACAAATGATGGACTTCTCCCGTCCACCCATTGTGGGGCCATTTCCTGACAGATAAGCCATAGGTCCTATGATTCCTAGAAGGAAACACAGACAATACTTGAGGGATGATGCAGTCAAATAAAGAGAACTCTGGAAAGATAATTGCAAGTTTTCCTGCACCCTCTTGGGAGAGTTTGGAGAAAAGAAGTTGGGTGGCCTTCAGAGTCCTCCAAAAATGGGTTCCCATTGCAGACTGGCCATTTGGGAGACACTGGCCAATTGGTTTTTCTCCTTCATTTCAGTTTCCATAGATATAAAATGGGGATAAAAACGTCACCAGCAGATAACTGTTCTGAGTTTTAAAAGAGGTACTAGGATGGGGCACCCGGGTGGCTCAGTCGGTTGAGAGTCCAACTTCAGCTCAGGTCATGATTTCATGATTCGTGAGTTCAAGCCCTACACTGGGCTCGCTGCTGTCAGCACAGAGCCCTCTTTGGATCCTCTGTCTCCCTTTCTCTGCCCCTCCCCTGCTCTCAAAAATAAAACATTTAAAAGATAAAAATAAAAATAAAAGAGGTATTAGGAATAAAGCAAATAGAACTTCTGTTATTTAAGTTTCCTTTTTGTTTAAAATTTTTATCCTAGGAGGGATGGGAAGTCTGCGGAGAAAGGGAGTCCTCACAGGGCCTGATCTGATCTTGTGACCACGGGGGACAAGAGAAGAAGCAGGGAGACCAGGGACAGCTACCACCGCAGCCCAGTCCCACCAAGTTTTAATCTTCTTTCTCCTCACTGAATGAAAACAAGGGTGGGGGAGGGGGGGGGAGAAAATGGCGCATTTCTTAAAACAAGTTTGTCACGGTCCTCTAGGCTCCTCCTACCCCCATACCGAGGTTCCCAGTTGCTTCTTTGAAGATAAAGTCCTCTGGTTGCGCCAAGGCCATCTGATACTCCTGCTTTGTTTGTTTGAGGAAGAATTGTTTCCACGTCTGTGAGCCCAGGCACTTGGAGAAGTTGCAGAAGCTCCATTTCTTCAGACACAGGTTTCTGGAAACAGAGTCATAACACCACCCCCACCCCAGGCTGTCCCCAGGTCAGTCCACCTCCTTGGGAGCACTGGTCTCATGAACCCCTCCCTCTCTGTGAGCATCACTCACGCCTCTCAAGACAGGGCCACCCGCAGGCCTCCTCTGTACGCAATCCAATCTTAGGTCTTCCCCCATGAGACACACCTGCCTTCCCGCCTTGCCCTTGCCTTGCTCACCTCCACAGGTGATCGTTCTCGGCAACTCTATTCCATTCCTGAGGGGGAAGAAAGGAAGGGGTGAACAGGCAGTCAGTCCCCAAAGGCTGGCTGCTCCTCTGCTATCATTTGTTCTGGTTGCAAGGCCCACACCGGTTCACCAGCCAGCATCCTAGCTCTCATGGCCCTCCCCGTCTGGGGGGATGGGGACAGGGTAACAGCAGAGGTCTGTCAAGGCTAAGACAGGCCCTTGGGATTCCTGCGAGAGTTTGGAGGGAGAAATGGGGACTTTTTGGAGCTTGAAATGGGGGCCGCAAGGACCATTTAGTCAGTACAGCAACTCCTGGGTATCAGTGTGTCCTTTTCATTTAACAAAACAGGAGGCCCTCGGAGGGGAAGGATGCTAACCCCCAACACACAAGGTACCACTCCATTATTCTGCAAATGGGGGCTCAAACTGGTCAAGAGAAGCAACTAAAATCCAGGGACATTGATCTCTGGGAGCTGAGCGGATGGGCCCGAACAAGGTAAATTTAAGCAAAGAGGGAGGCTGTGTGGGTATAAGGCTCGCGTAGCCAAGATCTCAAAGCTGAGAGGCCGAGGTGAAAGGGTTCTTGTGCAAGGACTTGTGGAGAGGTGTGGGGGTGGGGCGGGTCAGACAGAGAGCGGATCGTGGAGAACATTTACCCTGTTCACTTGGGAAGCTTGGAGCAAGCTGAACGCGTCCAGGAAAGAGAAGATTTTTAACGTCGGCAGATCAGGCAGTTGGAGCGCCATCTTGCACGGCCTGAGCCTACATCCAGTCTCCTTTCTCCTCTCCAGTTGCTCTGAATTTAAAGGCCTGGCCCAAGTCTGCAGCACTCGGGAGGATTTCCACCTGCAGCTCATCTGGCTCTGATGGAAACAGCCTGCAGGTGCGTGCACTCGCAGGGAGGTGGCCCTCCACTTCGGCCTCCTCCGGGACCAGATCCATGAGCTGAGGGCATCCCTCCCTGCACTCGCCTGTTCATTGTGTTCATTGTGTCAACGTGTTCGACAACACCTTTTTTCTTTTGCACTGTGAACTGCAAGTGCAGGATCCGGGGCAGCTCTAAGGTGCTGATGAACTTGTCAAGACTCTCTAGGAAATTTTGACTGACACCCTCCAAGTTCCAAATCACTGGGGTAGGGAATCAGGTTGGCACGTTTATATGTCTATTTGAGACATCAAATCTGACCAGCACGGCCTATCTCCCAGCACCAAGACAGCCCCTGGGTTTCTACCTTTGTGCATTTCACTTTCCAGAGGAAGGAGAAAGCATGGGCCACAGAGGCCTGTGCTAAGGGCACAGGGCTTATCTGAGATGGCTCTCACAGGTGGTGCCTTTCTCTTGTGACCCAATACTTTTCTTCCAAGAACTTAACAACTGATTATTTTCTTTTTTTTTTAATTTTTTAAGTTTATTTATTTATTAAAAAATTTTTTAACGTTTATTTATTTTTGACAGAGAGAGAGAGAGAGAGAGAGAGAGAGACAAGTGTGAGTGGGGGAGGGGAAGAGAGAGAGGGAGACACAGAATCCAAAGCAGGTTGCAGGCTCTGAGCTGTCAGCACAGGGCCCAATGAAGGGCTTGAACCCACGAACTGTGAGATCATGACCTGAGCCAAAGTCAGATGCTCAACCGATTGAGCCACCCAGGTGCCCCTTAAGTTTATTTATTTTGAGAGAGAGACAGAGTATGAAGGGGATAGAGGCAGAGAGAGGGGAGAGAATCCTAAGCAGGTTCCACACTGTCAGCACAGAGCCATACATGGGGCTTGCACTCATGAAGTGCGAGATCATGACCTGAGTCAAAACCAAGAGTCAGATGCTTTACCAACTGAGCCACCCAGGCGTCCCTGATTCCAGTATTTTCTATGAGTTGCTGTCTGAGGCTCAACGGTGATGACCCGTGTAAACTGGGTCAGGCTGCCTCTGCCTGACCCACAGTAGTGGTCCTCAGCAGCACCATTTTTCCTGCAATGATATCTACTCTATTATCCAAAACTAGACTGGGCTTTCCTTTTTCTTTTTTTAAATTAAAAAAATTGTTTTAATGTTTATTTTTGAGAAAGAGAGAGTGAGTGAAAGAGAGAGAGTGTGACAGGGGAGGGGCACAGAGAGAGGGAGACACAGAATCTGAATCAGGTTTCAGGTTCTGAGCTGTCAGCACAGAGCCCGACATGGGGCTCAAACTCATGAACCTCAAGATCATGACCTGAGCTGAAGTTTGTGGCTTAACCAACTGAACCACCCAGGTGCCCTCAGACTGGGTTTTTCTGGGATAAATGTCCTCTTCCTCAGAATTTGCATTGGGAAACTTCACACTGACAGGCCGATAAAGTACAAACCTCACAACTATGGGGAGACATATTTTTCGTTCTGTTGAATTAGGTTCATAGGAAACTAGTTTGAAGAGAATGTGGTTTGAAGAGAAATAAACTGTTATAAAGAAAAAAAAAATCCTGGTTTCAAGAGAGATAAAGGGAGTCTTACAATATCTTTCATATCAATAATTCATTCAAGTCCTTTCTAAGTCAGTTTCCCTGAACTATGCCATTTTACTAATTATAAAATTAAAACACAATCTTTGGGGGTATCTGGGTGGCTCAGTCTGCTAAGCAGTCTGCTAAGTCACGGTCTCAAGGTTCATGAGTTCGAGCTCCACATCAGGCTCTGTGCTAACAGCTCAGAGCCTGGAGCCTACTTTGGTCTCTGTGTCTCCCTCTCTCTCTGCCCCTCCCCCTCTCATGCTCTGTCTCTCTCTCTTTCTCTCTCAAAAACGAATAAACATTAAAAATAAATAAAATACATGGGGCGCCTGGGTGGCGCAGTCGGTTAAGCGTCTGACTTCAGCCAGGTCACGATCTCGCGGTCTGTGAGTTTGAGCCCCGCGTCAGGCTCTGGGCTGATGGCTCAGAGCCTGGAGCCTGTTTCCGATTCTGCGTCTCCCTCTCTCTCTGCCCCTCCCCCGTTCATGCTGTGTCTCTCTCTGTCCCAAAAATAAATAAAAAACGTTGAAAAAATAAATAAATAAACAAATAAATAAATAAATAAATAAAATACAATCTGTGTTTTGGTTTGCTGAATTCAAGTGAATGAACAAGCTCTTGACTATTCACTCCCTTTAATACCAACAAAAAAATGTATGTTCAAATTTATTAGACCTTGATATACATCCTAAATTGTCTTCAAATATATTCATGTTTGGACAAATAACACCTGGGACTGCACACTTGCCAGCCTGAAATAAAAAAACAAGTGTTGGGGCGCCTGGGTGGCGCAGTCGGTTAAGCGTCCGACTTCAGCCAGGTCACGATCTCGCGGTCCGTGAGTTCGAGCCCCGCGTCAGGCTCTGGGCTGATGGCTCAGAGCCTGGAGCCTGTTTCCGATTCTGTGTCTCCCTCTCTCTCTGCCCCTCCCCCATTCATGCTCTGTCTCTCTCTGTCCCAAAAATAAATAAATGTTAAAAAAAAAAAAATAAATAAATAAATAAAAAATAAAAAAATAAAAAAACAAGTGTTGTCGAGGATGTGGAGAAAAAGGAACCCTTGTGCCCTGTTGGTGGGAATGCAAACTATGGAAAATAGTATGGAGGTTCCTCAAAAAATTAAAAATAGGACGACCTTATGATTTACTAATTCCACTAATGGGTATTTACCCAAAGAAAACAAAAACACTAATCTGAAAAGATATATGCACCCCTATGTTTATTATGGCATTATTTACAATAGCCAAGATATGGAAGCAGCCCAAGTATCCAGCCATAGACAAATGGATAAAGAAGATATGGTATATAAGATGTATATACAATGGAATATTACCTGACCTTAAAAAAAAAAAGAATGAAATTTTGCCATTTGCAACAACATGGATGGATCTAGAGAGTATAATGCTAAGTGAAATAAGTCAGAGAGAAAAACAAATACCATATGATTTCACTCATATGTGGAATTTTAAGAAACAGATGAAAAAAGGGGGAGAGATACAAAAAACAGACTCTCAAATATAGAGAACAAACTGGTGGTTGCCAGAAGGGAGGGAGGAGACGGGTGAAATAGGCAAAGAGGAGCAAGAGTACTTACTGAGTACTGAGTAACATATGGAATTGTTGAATGCCTTTAATGTATATCTGAAACTAATATAACACTGTACGTTAATTATACTGGCATTTTTTAAAGCCTCAAATTCAGAGAATTCCTAAAGCAAAACAAAAACAAAATAAATAAATATCTACAACACTTGTGGAAAAATCTTAAGTTTCCCAGTGTAAACACTATAAATATATAGTGTAAATAAATATAGGGTATAGTATACATAACTACACAAATGGTTTGAATACACTTATAGTCAAATAGATGTGCCCAAAAGCACTCCATTCTAATATCTTTGTCTAACCCTCTCTAAAATTTTATTTTTATTTTATTATTTTTTTATTGTTTATTTATTTTGAGAGAGAAGGAGAGTACTCACGAGTGGGGGAGGAGCAGAGAAAGAGAATCTGAAGCAGGCTCCGTGCTGTCAGCATGAAGCCGATATGGGGCTCAACTCACAAACCACGAGATCATGACCTGAGCTAAAATCAAGAGTCTGACACTTAACTGATTGAGCCACCCAGGCGCCCCCCACCGCCTCTAAAATTTTAAACGCCTCTCAGTGTGAAATCAATAAAAGGACAAAATACACAAAAAAACAAAACAGCACACGGGACTGGAATTTGGTGACAAGCCTCCTTCCAGTTCTAATGGTCCAGGACATTGAATGTTAGAACTGATTTTTGGGTTGCTGCCTGCCCATACCCTCTGTAAGGTGGGAATGGTGATTTCAAACTGACTCTGTCTCAGAATCTCTCTCTCTCTCTCTCTGTGTTTCTTATTCTCTCTCTGATTAGGCATTCCTGAAATTTCTTCAGGGTTCTTAATTCTACCTGCATCCAGCCTATGGGTCCCTGTGTCCGTATAACAAATGTGCAGTAAAAGGACGTTGTAAGCATGCAAGGCACTCTCCGTTTGTCCCTCCACTTCCCCCGCCCCCCATCATGTAAATCACTTATCTTCGTTTCATTAAGGTCTTGTTCTTTTGTTTAGAACACATTCTTCTGTGTCTTTACTCTTCCTAGACTCTCTGTGTTGGTTTCTATGCATTAGAGAAAACAGCTACCTCTCCTGGTCTTGGCTTGGTGTAGGATTAACCTTATCAGCCAACCCTGCCCTATCTCTTGGTTGTCTCTCAAACCTTGGTGATTGTCCAAGTAGCCTGTTTTATTTTTAGTGGCTCCTAGTAGTTGAGGGTGTGCCAGGACCTGTCAGTGTCCCGAAGGGGAGGATCTCAGTCAGCATCTAGATTCAGGCTGATTGGAAGCCTGACCCTCAGGCAGCAGCTTTTAAACATGTACAAATATACCTCTTTCAGGGAAAGATGGGCCTTTCTGTCTGCTTCCTCTGGGTTGAGCCCTGGGGTGACAGCCAGGGGAGAACTGTTTATTTCTTTGATCCTGTCCTGTTGAACCTGTGAACATAAGCCCCACTGGCCACCAGAGCCAGACTATCAAGAGATGTGTCCTCTGGGCAGTAGATACAAAAGCCAGGGCACTGGACACATGCAAAATCTGATTCTATTTCCTTCCGAAGAAGGAAACATTGAAGCTCAGAATGCCGAGGTATGTTGAATATTCAGCCTCCTGATTCTGATGGTACAAGTAACCCGGATCTGGGGCTTCTTTGGGGTAGAATCTCTTTCCTCCCTTAGCCAAGCCAGC